TGGCAGTGCCAAGCAGTTTATGGAGTAGACAGAGCGATCCCTGCACGATGCCATCATGATTGTCAGGCAGGCCATCAAGAGTGATTCAGTGGTGGCTGGTGGTGGGGCCTTCGAGATGCAGCTCTCCAAATACCTGCGGGATTAGATTACTCAAGGACGATCCCAGGGAAGCAGCAGCTGCTGATCAGGGCCTATGCCAAAGCCTTGGAGACTATCCCATGCCAGCTGTGTGACGATGCTAGCTTTGATGCCACACACATCCTTAGCAAGCTGCAGGCTTGGCATGCATGGGGGGCACATGGTATGGGCTAGAAAACAACAATGAGAACATTGCTAACAACTTTGAGGCCTTTGTGTGGGAGCCAGCTATGGTGCAGATCAATGCCTTAACGGCAGCCTCTGAAGCTGCATGTCTCATCGTGTCTGTAGATGAAACTATCAAGAACCTCTGTTCAACTGTGGATGCTCCTCCAGCAGAGGGCTGGGGCCATGGCCATGGCCTCCTGCACTGAGGGACGCTCCATTCACTGTTACAACTGCCAACTGGATGGTGTGTGTACATTACTCTCCTGGTCTTGGTCATTGCTGTTACAGTGAAGGGGTTAAAAAAACAAAATAACTGTCCCTCAAATATGACAGCAAAATTAGGACATTTCTCCATAAGCAGAAATGAAATGAATTTGTAACAACCAGACCCACTTTACAAAAAAATACTAAAGTGACTTCTTCGGACTAAGAACCAACAACAGTAGACAACAACATGAGATTAACATACACAACAACACCCAGGACTCAGCCCAGATATAGAAGTATCCAAAATAAAACAAACTTACAAGACTGAAAACAGGGAACCAGAGATATTAATTTATAACAAAGACAGCTACAAAGCAAAAAAGAAGGAATAATGTAGTTAAAGAACTTCCAAATGGGGGAAAAGCTAAGTAGATTTCATGATAAAATTAGACTTTTAAACTGGGGAAGGAATTACTTTGTAATCTCAAAGAAAATGAATAAACCTTCCTATCAAAATAAAAAAAAGAAAAATCATATAGATTTAGTAAACATTAAGACAACACAACAACAACAAAGAAAATAACAAGAAAGCCCCAAAATAAAATGAATTCAGCACAGAAAGTTATGTGAAACAAAGAAACCGGCAACACCACCAACAAAATAAAAGATAGACATTGAAGAGTAACAATGGATCCTTGAGACATCTCAAAACATGGATGAACCTGGAAGACATTAGTCTAAGTGAAATTAGTCAATCACCAAAGGACAAATACTGTATAGGACTAACTTTGCACTTTTTATATGACATGGGGGAATTAGGATAATTATTAGCCAAATCTTGATAGGCTTTTACCATACATAAATAACTTCCATATATTTCAGTTAAATTAAAACATGGCACTGTTGGGATGTTTTGATATGATGCTCCCAGAGAAGCCCCAAATCAAACAAGAAAAGCAGGTTTGCTTTTGCCTGCATGGTTGATCGTGGGAGGAGGTAGCAAATGGTTATGACATACTGATACAGATAAAGGGTCAGAATTCCCTTGGGTGGCCTCATAATTGCTGGCCACAGAATATTGTGTGCTCGGGGGTGGGAAGGAAAGAGGAGTAATAGACTGTTAGAGGGTTAACTTGGGTGATGGGGAATGCAATATACAATGAGAGAAAGATTAACAAAACAATGACAAAGGCAGAAGACAGGGAGATGAGTGCAAGAGTTTAAGGGAACAGGGATAAATATTGTTATATACACAATCTTACAATAACAGTGATCTCTAGGTAGGTACATGGAAAGATACACAGGCTGAATGGATGTTAAAGAGAGGGAATATGCCCACCAACATATAAAGATTTGACAGAGGATGTTTGTACATAGGTTATTTACCTTTGCTACTAACATAACCATGAATGTGATGGAGCATTGTTGCTGTTAAGTGCCGTGGAGTCGGTTCTGACACATAGTGACCCTGGATAGGGGTTCTGAGGAGCAGCTGATGGGTTTGAACATACAGGGGGCAAAATTATGAAACTTTCTTAGACATTATTTAACATCTTTAGGGAATGATTTGCTGGGCATGGGGGCTCTGGTCTATGGTCTTGGGAGACACCATGGTCAATTGGCATAACAAAATCCAAAAACGCAATGTTCTAATTCTATTTTTGTGAGTATCGACTGGGGTCTTAGAAGCTCATGAGCAGATGGGGCATCTAAAGTGCAACTATTGCTCTTTCCCTGTCCAGAGCAAAGAAGAGTGATGAAAATTGAAAACACTTGGAAACAATCAGTCCAATGGCCTAATAAAACATGGAAACATCAGTTGCCATGATCCTGAGACCAGAAGATGGTGACTGACTACCACTGAAAAGGAGTACATTTCAAAGTCCTGGATAGAGCAGGAGAAAATGTGGAACAACATTCAAAACCATAAAAAATACAAGGCATACTCGTTAGATAGAGACTGGTGGAAACTGGAGACTATGGTCCTTGATCTCCCTTCAGTTCCGGGCCACTTATTGTGTTAGTGGATGAGGAATGATGGGGCAAGATACTATAAGTACTCCTGGAGGTCCTTTAAATGTGCACAGTGCACAGGCAGCTACTTAATGGGTCAGCGATGTTAAGTATTTCCATCAATAAAAGAGCTATAATAGATAATGCAAATCCTTCAGTCAGTCACCCTAGTGGAATACCTGAATTTGTGTTTTCAGTCAGAAGCTTCTCCATAACTATGCCTCAAATTGCCAAAAAGGTTGCCAGGGCATGGCTGCTCAACAAAAATCCTTAAAATCTTTACCTAAACAAATACCTTGCCTTAGTTTTGTTTTGTTGTTGTTGTTGTTTTTGCTAACTCAACAAGGCAGAGTGTGTGCACTAGCCAACATATCTTATTTATGGGTAAGCAACATTGGCCACCTCCATTTGCTTTAGAAGGGCTGATTGCTGGAAAGAACAAACCAGACCAAAGTTTATATTGTGAAAATCACCAATGGGAGAATGTGCTTACCTGATGAAAGAGGTACCAACACCATTCGTGTTTCTTTTGTAAAAAATAACTTGCAGGTTACCTAAGGTCTGGCCTGTCATGATGATGTGGCTATTTCTGACACATAATGGACTGAGACTCTTAAAACAATATTTGACCAATGAGCAGAGAACAAACCATTGCCCACAACCTACAAAAGGAAAGCAGGACCTCTAAGTTTTTAAGCTAAAATTTCCTTCTTGTGGACACTCCATCTTTCTCATGGCAATGATCTATGCTTGCTTTCTCTTCTTTTTAAAAATTGTTCCACTGTATTATTGATCTTAAATGCATCTTTCTTGCAATTTTATAGTAGTTTGTGTTTTATACTCCAGAACACTCTCTCCTGGATGGAGAGCATTCAGCAAAAACGTGGCTCCCCCTTGAGGGCCCATGAGTTTCCTCCTGGAGCTCAACCACTCATCCCTAGGGCACAGCGTTGTCCCAGGGCACCTGCACAGGGTTCCTACAGACACCATGCCTAGGGGGAGGACCGTGGTGGTCGCCCAGCACAGCCCACCTGCTAGGCACCTCCTCCCTTTGCGAGTGCCCCCATTGCTAAACCCAAGGCCAGGACCTAACTCACAATCCTGCAGCCCCAGCCTCGCAGTGGGCTCCTCGCTCTCAGGCGGAAGTTCAGCCCAGCCTCCAGCCACCTGCCCGCCAGCGCTTATGTAAATGCTCCCAGGTGCTGGCCGCCTGGCATGAGGAGTGATGACCAGGGTGCCAGAATGTTGGAGTTTAAGCCTTGTAGATATATTGCCATAAGTAAATTGGATTTACAGAAAATATTTTTTTCGTTATAACTAGCTACAGGGAGTTTTGTATTTTAAAATAAGAAATTTCTGCTGAGACACTGAACAAAATCTTTCTGAACAACCTTGTGGTGTCACTGTTTATGACAGCGTTCCCTGGTGTAGTCCTCTCGACCCCCCTCCTTAGTGACACCAGTGCATCTTAATGCACGTAGATTACACCTCCATTTTTAAAGTGGAGGAAAGACAGGGCCTCGAGGACCTATGGTAGTGGTGTTGTTTTCATCTTCAGTTTAGGTATCAGTGGTTTTTCAGCCAAAATATGGGGTCCGTGCAATTTTCCAATCTAAGAAGACCCATGTGGCACAAGACTACAAATTCCTTCTAGGTTACATTAGGTTGCTTCCCGGGATAATGGAGGTTTGGGATCCATGAAATGGGGCGGGGAGCAGGGGGAGTCACCTCATAAAACTTAGAATCTGGGGCTACCACTATTGTAAATTTTTAAACTTTGTAAGATGACAATAACGATTCAAATCAAACTCCAAGAGATGAAACAATTAGCAAGGGACTTTTTTCTCCAGATGTACTAACTGCACAAGGCCAGAATTAGCATGTTACTTAGAACTTTCTTTGAGTCCTTTGTAAATTCACAGATTGTGGCTCCCGAACAGTTGGTATCATCAGACCCGTATCTTGCTAAAGCAAAAGCTAATAGTCTTTATCTGGCTATATGGCCTTGAAGTTGCATTCCCTTCCTGTGCCTGGGAGGAATGAGATGTAACTGAAAGGTAACCATTTCTCTTTAGGGAGGAGAGATGCTGAAGGAGGGCGGAGCAATGATAATGTAGTGCGTGAGATTTCAAGGAGAAGAGGTTGAGTCATAAGTCACAGCATATAAAGTCCCAGTCCTGCATTTGGAGGAGGAGGAGACCAGGACCCAAGCTGGTTCCATCTGGCTTCCCACGATATAACAGGTTAGAACTTTTTCATTTTCTTTTAACTCCAAGTATTGGTGGTGGGGACATGGGATTTTTTTTCCCCAGGGCATCGGAGGGCATTGGGGGTGGGAGGAAGAATGGAGAAAACCTTTCTGCTATAATAACTTGTCCTATCTTTTCAGTCCTCTGCAGTGTCACTTTGTCATCAGATCTGCTCCCCAGCGTTTTCTTGTTCTGGTGAGTGTTTCTTGGTGCTCTGTGTTGACCATGACTGGGTGGAGATGCCTTGTGACAGGAGCAGGAGGATTTCTGGGTCAGAGGATCATCAGCTTGTTGGCAGAACAGAAAGAGCTGCAGGAAATCCGAGCCCTGGACAAGGTCTTCAGACCAGAACTGCAGGAGGAATTTTCTAGTAAGTAAACTCGTCATGGGTATGTGACTCCATTTTAAACCCTGTGTGGGTATGGGGAGGAGACTGTTGTCCAACAAATTAAAGAAAGTTATAGGCCATTTCTAAAAAGCATCAGAAAGGAAACCCTGGGTAGTTTGGTATAAAAGACATTGGACTGGGTGTCAGGAGAGGTAGTTCAGGTGCTGATTCAGAAGTACAGTGTGTTATTGGATCTCTAGTCAACCCTCTTTTCTTCTCAACTAGAAAATCACACCTCACAGCTCTCCCTTGTTTGCAACACTTTAATGCTGTGAAGATATTACTTGACCTTTTCTGTGCAGTATTTGTAAGGGCAGACAAGCGCCATTAACCCTGGAGAGCCCCTTCATTTCCCTGATCTTTATGTGAGTCACTTAGCATCTCCAGTGGACATGAAGATGAGTGTGTATGTGAAAGAGAGAAGAACCAGGGAGTCTGGGCATATTTCATTTGCATTTCTTATATATCTGTTCTGAACTTTGTCTCTGTTCCTCGTCACTACAGAGAAAGTGACCTCAGAATTTGCTGTAACAGTTCATTGTTCTCTTGCCAACTTGTTATCGCAGGTGCAAATACAAAATCTAGATTGAAAAGTTCTTTCATCCCAGAATTCTTAAAATAGCCCATGGAGGAGAGTAGGAAAGGGGTAACAACCATCTGGACAATGAAAAAACCGAAGTCCAGAAAGGTGAAGCAACTTGCCCAAGGCCACTTTAGCTAAAACAGAATGTGTTCCCCACAATTGGGCTTCCTGTTTAGTAATTTGCTCATTAAAGAAGACCCATTGATAATATATCCCTCCCACTGGAGTCCTGGTGTGGTGCTGTGGGTTAAGGCACTAAACTGCAAAGCTGTTTGAACTTCAAGATTGGTGGATCAAGCTCACCAGCTGCTCCTCAGAAACCCTATATAGGGTCACCAGCTGCTCCTCAGAAACCCTATATAGGGTCCACGGCACTTAACAATAACTGAGTTTGCTGAACTTTTCTTAATTTTTCTCTTAAATAGTTTCATCTGTTTGATTCAGAACAGCCCCATTAGAGCCACTGATTGGATTCCCAATCTTTGGTTAGACTTGGTGTGTGAGTGTGTGTGTGTGTGTGTGTGTGTGTGTGTGTGTGTGTGTGTGTGTGTGTGTGTGACTTTGTCAAGCTTCATTTGGCTGACTTATGCTGTTTGTTGTTCAATGCCATTGAGTGGGTTGAGACTCATGTTGTTGTTGTTGTTAAGTGCCGTCAAGTTGGTTGTGACTCATAGTGACTCTTTATAGGGTTTCTGAGGAGTAGCTGGTGAGCTTGACCCGCCGACCTTGCAGTTCAAACAGACCTTGCTGTCCAGTGCATTCACCCACAGTGCCACCTATAGGGTTCCCAAGGCTATAAACTTTTGCAGGAGCAAAAAGACTCATTTTCGCCCCTCAGAGCAGTTGGTGGGCTCAAACTGCTGACCTTGTGGTTTGCAGTCCTGTGCTTATTGAACAGAGCCACCGCACTCCCTTTGGCCAAGTAGTGGCCAGAAATACTTGCTCTACTAGCTAGCCCAGAACTTTTACCAGTTCTGTCATAATGACTCTGTGGGATAGAACAGAACTGTTCCAGAGGGTTTCCAAGGTGGTATTGCCTCATGTATTCTGGACAATTAATAAGGAAGAATGGAGAACTGATGTCTTTATACTATGGTTGTCATTATTGTTGTTAAGCGCTGTTGAGTCCATTCTGACTCATGGGGACCCGGTATAGGGTTTCTGAGGAGCAGCTAGTGGTTCTGAAAACCCGACCTTGCAGTTCAAACTGACTTTTCAGCCCAGTGTTTATCCTATAGTGCCACACCAAGATTCCTTATACTCCTTATATATATGTTGTTGTTGTTGTTAAGTGCCATCGAGTCGGTTCCGACCCATAGCGAACCTGTACAGGGTTTCCGAGGGTGTAAATCTTTACGGGAGTAGAAAGCCTCATCTTTCTCATTACTCCTTATATAGGGTATTGACAATGAGTATTAAATACATCATGGACTACCAGCCACTCCATAGGAGAAAGATGAGGCTTTCTGCTCCCGCAAAAATGTACAACCTCAGAAACCCTATACAGGATTGTTAATGAGTTAGAACCAGCTCATTGGCACTTAACACCAACCAGAAGAATAAACAAATGTGCCTTGGAAGAAGTATAGCCAGAGTACTTCTTAGAAACAAGGATGGTGAGACTTCATCTCATGTACTTTGGACATGTTATCAGGAGATTCTAGTTCCTGGAGAAGGATATCATGCTTGAACTTGGTAAACAGTTATGGGAAAAGAGGAAGAACCTCGATCAAATAAATTGACACTGTGGCTGTAACAACATGCTCAAACAAGTAACAATTGTGAGGCTGGCACAGGACTGGCAGTGTTTCATTCCGTTGTACATAGAGATGAGTAGAAACTGACTTGACAGCACCTAACTGCACTCTTTTCACAGAAGCCAACTGCCACATCGTTCTCTCGCAGAGCTGCTGGTAGGTTTGAACTGCTGACCTTTCAGTTAACAGCAGAGCATTCAAACACTGTGTCACCTGGGTTCCTACCCTTGACTGACTCATTAATTCACTGACAGCTGCAAAGAGACTTTTAATCACAATCCATCATTTGGAACCCATCCTCAATTCCCTGTTAATGGTGGTACAATGGTTAAGAGCTCAGCTATTAAAGGAGCTCTGGTAGCGTAGTGGTTACGAATTGGGCTGTGAACCTTAAGGTCAGCGGTTCGAAACTATCAGCCGCTCCGCGGGAGAAAGATGAGGCTTTCTACTCCCGTAAAGATTTACACCCTCGGAAACCCTGTACAGGGTCGCTATGGGTCGGAACTGACTCGATGGCACTTAACAACAACAACATTAACAGAAAGATCTGCAGTTTGAACCCACCAGCTGCCCCAAAAGAAAATGATGTGGCAGTCTACTTCTGTGAAGATTTATAGCCTCAAAAACCTGTAAGACAGTTCTACTCTGCTTTATAGGGGTCCTCTTAATTAGAATTGACTTGATGGCTGTCGGGGTCTGACCTCGACATAGTTGTGTTGTTCATAAGTGTTTGGTTCACGAGGAGGGGAGATCCAGCGGCGATAGGGATAGCGAAAGAATACACAGACAAACAGAAGAAGGGAGACAATGAGGCACCCCAAAGCCAGGGTGGATACATCACTGGTGGGCAGGCTTGGGATTACAGGCATCGTTGCCTCTGCAGGCAGCAACTCACTGCCCTGCAATCTTTACTGCATGCCCTCCAACCTGTAATGCACTGCAATCTTTACTGCATGCCTTCCAACCAGTAATGCACTGCAATCTTTACTGCATGCCTTCCAACCAGTAATGCACACCTGTGGAGGCCCGGGCCTCTGTTTTATTTAGGGGAGGAGCTTCACACCAAGCTGGGAGGGACTTAGGCAAGGTACAGCTAACATCAGTACTTTTCCAGACATTCAGGTAACTTTACATCGTACTTCGCTGGTTCGAATCCCAGGCCAGCAACTTGGATTCTCAGGCCCAATTAACACATCTATAGCCCCTGAGCTCAGGTGGGGGAAGGTGAAAGGTAAGGACAAAAGCTTGGGCGGAGTCCCGCTGTTTCGGCTTCCTGAGCCAGGTTTTCAGGAGGACTCCAGACGCCCAGGTGAATGGGCTGCACCTGGAAAAGGATTAGGGAGGATGGGTTCTTTGTCTATAGAACAAAGAACTGAGAAGTAGCTAAGATATTTTTAGTTAATCCTTTGGAGAAAGGCTTAACCTTGCAACCTTTAGTCTCGGCTTTAGGAAAATATCACATTTATCTGTGGATTATCAAAGGCTCCGTGTATTAAATTAATACATGTAACTGAATATTAATATGAAAAACATTTTGCCATTAACTGCCAGTGGCCTCATTTGTTACACTCGGGCCTATAGGGCCTCGAACCTCTGACTAGTCTTACACGGTCCGCAACATATGGCAACACGTTTGGGGTTCTAGTTTGGACCCTCTTTTGGTCAGCCAGCCTACAAACTCTAAGGTTCACTGTGGTTCCTCTGCTTCATCTCAGGCTTCATCAAACTATGGTCTGTAATTCCAGCCTTGTGTATCTCTTTCCTTCTCTGCTCCCATTGCTGTGACCCAGACTGCTGTTCTCCTCACTTGAACTTTGGTTGGAGCATTTTGATTCATCTCTTGATCTCCTAGCTTTCTCTTTGTTCCCACACACCAATCCATTACCTACACTGAAGTCAACATTAGCTTCCTCCATGACTCTGGTTATAGTTCTCCTCTTATTCAAGCTCCATCCATGATTACCCATCACCTACTGAAGCAAATTAAACTGCTTTCCTCTTAGATCCAGCTCTCCATCATCACCCTCCTTTGTTAGCAACGTTTATAAACTAACTGCCCACTACTCTCCATAACATGGTTTCTGTTTCAGGCACACTTGATGACTTACTGCTCAGATTCCTTTTTTTTGGAATGAGATGATATGTAAACACAAGGGTGAGTCCAAAATTATCTGTACTCTGACTGCAGCAAATACATCATTTTCCAACATAATCCCCTTGCTTTCCAATACACTGTGTCCATCTGTCAACAAGCTTCCATATTCCCTTATTGAAAAATGTTTTAGGCTAAACTGTGAGCCACAAATGCACCACTGTCTTCACTTCTTCATCAGAGGTGATGCTTCTTCCTCAAAGGGCTGTATTCAGGGGACCAAACAGGTGAAAGAAAGTCCAATGGAATAAGATCAGGACTCTAGGAGGATGCTTTAACACCTCAAAACCAAGTTTTTTCAGAGTGTCAACAGTATGGATAGGTGTACAGATGTGCATTACCATGCAAGATCACAATGCCCTTGGATAGCAGTCTTCTGTATTTAGTACAAAGTTTAGGCTTCAGCTCTTCAGTGAGCATCTCACTGTAATGATCACTGTTTGATCGTTGAACCTTTTTCCTGACAGTGTTCCAATACTGGCCCTTGAGAATCCTAGAACACTGTAAGCATCATTTTTCCAGCTGATGGTTGACTTTTGATGGTTGGTGAATGAGGATGTTTCCATTCCATACTCTGCCATTTACTCTCAGGCTCGTAGTGATGAATCCATGTCTCATCACCAGTAACAATTTTTTTTAAAGAAACTATCTTCATTCGGGTATCAGTCCAAATTTTGTTTGCAGATGTCCAATGCTTCTGTTTATGTTCTTCCATGATTTGTTTCAGTACCCGTCTCACACAAACTTCTTGAAACCTAACTCTGTCATGGATTATTTCAGGCAACGTTATGGCTGATTTGCCACAAAATCCACTGTCACTCATATGTTTGACAGAATCATTTCAGGTGCACAATCAATGTTGTCATCAGCTGTGGATATGAATGGGCATTTTAATATAACTGGAGTACTGATAATTTTCAACTCACCCTCATAGATGTTTACTTAATCTGTTTTCTTTGCCTTAATTCACTTTTCCTTCCACCTGGAATGCCCAGCCTTCCCCTGCTCTACCTGTCCTTGAAGACCTAGGTAAAATGCTACCTTGATCAGAAAACTTTCCTGGCCAGGCCCAGAAGAAGAAAAAACTCATTGCTGTTGAGTCTATTCTAACTCATAGTGACCCTGTAGGACCAGAGCAGAACTGCCCCCACAGGGTTTGGTGGTGGTGGCTGTGTGCCGTGGAGTTGGTTCCAACTCATAGCGACCCTGTACAGGGTTTCCGAGGCTGTAAATCTTTACAGGAGCAGAAAGCCTCATCTTTCTCCCGCAGAACAGCTGGTAGTTTTGAACTGTTGACCTTGTGGTTTGCAGCCTGATTCGTAACCACTACGCTACCAGAGCTCCTCTACCCCATAGGGTTTACAAGGACATAATCTTTATGGAAGCAGACTGTCACATCTTTCTCCCAAAGAAAAGCTGGTTGGTTGCAACTGCCAAGTGCTTAACCACTGTGCCACCAAGGCTCCTGTAAATAACCTGACTGTATTCACACAGAGCTCAAGTGCAAGATTACACTGACGATGCTGGAAGGAGACATCCTGGATGAACAGTGCCTGAAGAGAGCTTGCCAGGGCATCTCTGTTGTCATCCACTGTGCCTCGATCATTGATGTAGTTGGGGCCATTCAGAGAGAGGTCATCATGAATGTCAACCTGAAAGGTATGGTATCTATCCCGTGGAGGGGATGGGGAGAGGTGAGAGAGTGCGGCTCAGAAAACAGGATAAGGAAGAGCAGAGAAATCCCTACCATTAAACACCTTCTCTGTGTTCTGTGCCAAGTGTTTTTGTTTATCACTATCACCTGAGAAAGGAGACCTGGTGGCATGGCGCTTAAGCACTCAACTGCTAACTGAAAGGTTGAGAGCTTGAACCCACCAGCAGCTCTATAGGAGAAAAGACCTGGAGATCTGCTCCCATGAAGTTGGCAGCCTAGGAAGCCCTACAGGGAAGTTCTACTCTATCAGAACATCAACTCCAAGGGTTCAAGGCTGCTATCCTCAACCCATGGCACCTAACCACAACAACATCCTCAGCTTAAGGAGCCTTGGTGGTATGGTAGTTAAAGATAATAAGATAAACCAAGAAAGTTTAAGTAACTTGTCCATGACCCCACAGGTAGTCAGTCAGAGAGCTAGAATTTAAACCTATATCTGCATGGCACCAAAGGCCATTTGGTTACGAGTGGGGCTGCTAACCTCAAGGTCAGCAGTTCGAAACTACCAGCTGTTCCATGGGAGAAAGATGAGGCTTTCTGCTCCTGTAAAGATTTACAGCCTCAGAAACCCTCTACAGGGTCGCTAAGAGTCAGAACTGACTCCATGGCACATAATCACCAACAATTACGTGAAGAGTCAACTGAACTGTAACCTCAAACTGTAGATATCCAGCCACCCCTCTGTCTCCCCTCAGCTTCACAGAGGCTCCCTCAGTCTCACGTTAGCCCTCCTATGTGACTCTGAGGCGGTGGTCACACAGTGAGGTCAAGAGCTCAGACCCTGTGATTGAAGGTAGCTGCAGTCAGTCAGCTGTAGGCCAGCACTCCTATAGGTCAAATTCAGGCCTCTAGCCTGTTGACCTCTGGCTGCATTCCTTGTGCAAGATTGACAAGGATAAGGTGAACTCCGAGAGCCTTCTCGCCAACTCAAAGAACAGCTCTTCTCAAGAGAACTAATAAAGCTGGTTCACAGAGGTCCACAATATTTTCTTAGTCACAAGAGTCTCCCATTATCCCTAATATCATCTCTTCAGCTTATCACTACAACTATTACTAAAGAAAAGTGTGTCCTCATTAGATCTTCACCCTTTAAATACTTGGTAGCTCTTTCTGAATTTTGACTTTCCAATTTACTTTAAATTGAGACACATTGGCTTAAGGGAGTTCACCATAAAATATCATCCCTCTGGTCTTTCAGAGGGGTCCTGGTGGCATAGTGTCTTAAGCATTGGGCTTTGAAGTGAAAAGTCAGAGATTCAAACCCACTGGATGCTCGACAGAAGAAAGATGAGGTTGTATGCTCCTGTCAAGATTTATAGTCTTAGAAACTAGGGAGCAGTTCTCCTCTCTCCTATAGGCACATTCTCAGTTGGAATCAACATGATAGCAGGGGTTTGGGGTTTGGTCTGTTAAGACCAGCCTTCTAGGCACCACAGCACCCCAACTTCTTGCTCATCTGTTCTCTTCATCTTTCAAACTGGTGAATTTGAACTGCTGACAGTGAGTTAAGCAGACAAATGCTTAACTCATTGGATCACCAGGCCTCCTTAATAACAACTATGTTGTTGTTGTCATTAAGTGCCATCAAGTTAGTTCCAACTGCTAGTGAACCAAGGAAAGACTGGTGAGTTTTAACTGCCAAACTTGTGGTCCAAACCAACCTTGTAATCCAGTGCTTTATCCCACAGCACCACACCTGGACTCCTAAAAACAGATATAGCGGTTAGGATTTATAACACATAGTTTTTAGGGGGACACATTCCATCTATAACATGCCCGCAGTCTAAAATAACACCATCTTCCAAAATCCCCATTCTAGTTTCTACCTTAACCACACCTCCAATCACCCCATGTTGTAAGGGTGCTGAGATGAACCATTTTTGAGTCCCTCTCTTATAATTCCTCAAAAGTCTGGTAGTACAAGTTAAAGGAACCAACCAGAGGCTCTGAGGGAGAAAAGACCTGGGATGTATGGATTTACTCTGCCCTGTGCTGTTACGTGACATCTAGTTGGTTCTGACTTACAGCGACCCTCTATAAGCTTTCTAAGGAGTGACTGATGAGTTTGAACTGCCAACCTTGTGACTCACATTGTCGAGTGCTTATCCTACAGCACCAGAGGGTACCTATAAATCAGAATTGACTCCATGGCCCACTACATTTCATAATTCCTATCCCCCCCAGTTCCCAACAACAGGGGATTTGAAATCCATGAGAAATATTAGAGGCATCAGTTGGCTAAATCTGTCAGCACTCCCAGGTTTAAAAAAATATTATACAAATGCTTTTGTATTAAAAAGGATACACGTTTCATTAAAGACCTCAATGGGTTTTTTTCCTCCTTTGCAAGTAAATTAACTCTAAATTTTTTTCTGCTTCTATTTTTTAATTTTTTTTTTAAAAAATAAAGCTTTCTCGATGGAAAATCAAATTGCACAAGACCTGAAAGAGGGACAAAAAGTCAAATTTTTAAAATAATCCTTTTTTCAAGAAGGTTCCTTCCTACCACTGTGGAGAGTTCTATAGATCTGGAGTTCTGGTGTGGTGCTGTAGAATAAGCACTGGACTGCAAGGTCAGTTTGAACCGCAAGGTCGGCAGTTCAAACTCACCAACCACGCCTCATAAACCATATGTAGGGTTGCTGTGAGTCAGAACCAACTCAATGACATTTAATAACAACAATCTTGTTGTTGTTGTTGTTGTTATGTGCCGTGGAGTCAGGTCCGACTCATAGCAACCTTGTACAGGGTTTCCGAGGCTGTAAATCTTTACGGGAGCAGAAAGCTTCATCTTTCTCCTGCGGATAGAGGGCATCAAAAGTGTCCCCGTTATAACTTAACCACCACCAGAGCTGCAGGGCTTCTACAGGTTTTTCCCATTACAGATATTTTTCCACTAGAGGGCGCACTCCATTTCCAGATCCAGTCGGTTGAACCCATAGCAACCTCTGGTAGCGTAGTGGTTACGAATCGGGCTGCGAACCTTAAGATCAGTGGTTCGAAACTACCAGCCGCTCCGTGGGAGAAAGATGAGGCTTTCTAATCCCGTAAGGATTTACACCCTCGGAAACCCTGTACAGGGTCGCTATGGGTCGGCTCCGACTCGAAGGCACTTAACAACAACAACAACAATAGGGTTTCTGAGGAGCAACTGGTGAGCTTAAACCGCAGACTTTGAAGTCCATTGCATTAACCCATAGTGCCACACCAGGACTCCAGACTTAGCTCAGCATAAAAAGACAGGGTCCAGAATGCTAAATAAAAAGATGACAAATCACTCCTGCTTTTGATAAATGGTCACAGTGAAGTAATGATCGGAATTTGAGTGGCCTTCGAAGGGAATACACAATCAGAAATAGCTCTCTAACATCTTCCCTAACCTCATAACCATTTTCTCAGTGACTTCCCCAGCAAATGGTCCTTTTGGCCAAGTTTGTATTAGTCTGCAACATATGAGAAATACATAAGCAATTTCGTGTAAGAGTATGCACTGCCTATGTATTCTGAAATTAGTAACGCTTAACTTTTTGCATGTATTCTTTGATGCTATAATAGGGATTGTATATGGTGATTTTTAATGTCCGTACCTGACAAAATGTAAAACAGCAACACTATGTCCTTTTTAAAATTAAAACACACGTACACACACACACTCATGTCCCTGAAACCTCCCCTCTCAAAAAAAATAATAATCCTTGCTCTCCAGAATCCAAATGTTAATCTCTTTTCACTTTCACATTTGTCCTAAGGGAGTCCCTTGAGACACCAATGAATGGTTAAGTGACTCCTAGCCAAAAGGTTGACAGTTTGAAGCCACCCAGAGGCACCTCAGACAACTGACCTGGTAAAAGATTGCAGCCTTGAAAGCCCTATGGAACAGTTCTACTCTGAACACATGGGGTCAACATGAGTCACAATCAACTCAACAGCAGGTAACAATAACACTATGAACTCTGGACCAGGCCATGGAGACAGATTGCTAAAAGCACATTTGTCCTATGGTTGTAGCATGAGCAGATCTCAGCCAAGGTCATGAAAGAATGTCTTCCTGATCTGTAATAACCAGCTCACTTAGAAATGGGTGGTGGATGTGACCTGTGAGTGTGGTCAGCCTTTTGGGTTATTTCCTGACACTAACAGTGTACTTCCCATGGGCAGGTACCCAGCTCTTGTTGGAGGCCTGTGTCCAGGCTAATGTGCAAGTCTTCATCTATACTAGCTCCTTAGAGGTGGCTGGACCCAACTCCTACAGTGAGATTATCCAGAACGGCCATGAAGAAGAGCATCACGAATCTAAATGGTTCACTGCCTACCCATACAGCAAAAAACTTGCTGAGAGGGTTGTACTTGCAGCTGATGGTTGGACTCTCAAAAATGGTGGCACCCTGTACACGTGTGCATTAAGGCCCATGTATATCTATGGGGAAGGGAACCAATTCCACTATACACAAATAAACCAGGCCCTACAGAACAATGGCATCCTGCCGGATTTTGCCAAATACTCCCTGGTCAATCCGGTTTATGTTGGCAACGTGGCCTGGGCTCACATTCTGGCCATTAAAGCCCTGCAAGATCCCAAGAAAGTCCAAAACATCCGAGGACAGTTCTACTACATTTCGGATGACACACCTCACAGAAGCTATAGTAACTTCATTTACATCCTGTGCAAAGAATGGGGTCTCCGCTTTGATTCCAGAATGACCATTCCTGTATTTCTGCAGTACTGGATTGCCTTCCTGCTGGAAATAGTGAGCTGTCTGCTGAGTCCAATTTACAACTATCAACCCCCACTCACCCGTCACCTGGTGACATTGTCAAATAGTGTGTTCACCTTCTCCTACAAGAAAGCCCAGCGAGATCTGGGGTATAAGCCACTCTTCAGCTGGGAGGAAGCCAAGGAGAAAACCACCCAGTGGGTTGGCTCCCTGGTAAGACAGCACAAGGAGGCTCTGAAGACAAAGACTCACTGATTTGTTGTTAGAGGGAATGTGGACCTGGGTACTGTTTGGCCCTATCTGTCAAGTTGTCTCCTCCTGGCTTCATGGAGAATGTAACGTGGGCACAAACCCAGGTCCTTACTGCCTCCCTTTTACAAGATGATGAATTGCTGGTCTCACAGATGCCACCAGAAACCTTTCAAATCAGCTCCCAACAAAAAAATCTCCCAATCCACTGCCACCACCAACCACCAGAGGGCACACAAGGTGATACGCTTCAGCCACCTTTACCAAAATTTCAGAGACCAAATGATGCTCATTATCTCTTTTAACTTGGAGTTTGCTTCTTAAGTTCCCTTTCCTCTTTTAAAGCATTTCTTTTCTCTTGAAAATTCCTTATTCATTTACATAGTTAAATAAAAAGAGCAATAAATATTTTCATACCTTATCTGGAGTTAGTTGTGGTTTGTAGTAACACACAACTTCTGCCTTTCCTTTCTATTACCAGTTGTCACCATCAGTACTGCCAAGCTTTAATCACAGCCTGGAGCTGGATAGAAAGAAATGATTGGAGAAGGGGAAAATGGAATTTACAAAGCATCTACTAGGCTTCAGGCATGTACTGTTGTTGTTAAGTGTTGTTGAGTTGGTGAGCTTAAACCACCAACCTTGTGGTTCAAACCAACTTTGCAGTCCAGCGCATTAACCCACAGCACCACACCATGACTCTAATATATAGAACTTCACTGAATCCTCCACAGAAACCTATAAGGTAGGAATTACTATTCCTATTTATTAATGAGTAGAATTGCCCACGGTCACACTAACTAGTAAGTGGCCAAGCCAGTTAACTCAAGGCAACTGACTTGAAAGTCCATGTCTTTCTCCTGTCCTAAATTTGCAGCAGTGTGTGTGTGTGTGAGGGGTGGTGGTGGTGGTGTTATTGGGACTACAGAGCACTGGGGCATGGTATACTGATTCTTGAGAAAACCCAGCTCCCTTCGGTTACCTATTTGTTGCCCACTCCTCTGCTGTGGGACATTCCCTAGCACCCGGGGGGGGGGGGGTGTCTCTGAGGGGTGCCTGGGAGGATGTGGATGTCCTAACCAGTGGCCCTGGACAGGGGAAGGAGAAGCAGGGATGCATCTAGCCTCTACCCCCAATATTAGTTCTCCTCAAAGTCTCTAGAGCACACCTGACTGTTGACCATTCTGGTATTCATAGCCTTATTTGTCAACCAATCAAATCACCCACTGGAGCCAAACCATGGGAAAGAAACAGGAACAAGTATGAATTCTCCATGAAAGCTTACCTCCTGCTCAGCTGAAAATACCCCACATTTACAGATGTAATTCACCCTCCCTTCTTCTTCCTGGTCCTGTGCTCTGTTGTACGTTGTACCTTCTCTTCCTTTGTCCTTCGACCTTCCTACCCATCCTCTTACCTTTCCCTCCATCTTTTCCCTTACTCACTGGCCCTCACCCTTCTCAATTTCCATAAAGAAAGGCCAAGCAAGACAAGTTTAGGGGCTTCAATGATGGCATGTTCATTAACTTAATGAAGGACCAACTGTCAAAAGTATTATCAGGGTTCATAAAGACTGATGACAGAAAATCCTGAGAAGGTTGCTGTGGGGATCCAGGAGTGGAGGCAATTCTGCCTTCATCTAGAACCAGTTGCTGGCCTGTGTCCACGTACCACAATCACGACAAGAGTCATCCCTAACGTCAAGACGGCTGCTTTCTTAACCAAGGAATTTATTGATCGTGTATTCTGTTGAATTTGATTATCACAAAGAGAGCAGTTTACGCATTCACTTTGAAAGAGAACAGGAAATCAATATGGCGGTGAGAGGCGGAGGGAGAGAGGCGGAGGGAACAACACTTCTGAACCAGATGAACCAATTTTATTCACTTCCAGGAGCTCTGATAGCGTAGTGGTTATGAATCGGGCTCCTAATCTCAAAGTCAGCAGTTCAAAACTACCAGCTGTTTAGCGGGAGGGCTTTCTTCTCCCGTAAAGAGTTACAGCCTCAGAAACCCTGTTACAGGGTCACTATGAGTGGGAACAAGCAAACCTTGGCTAGACTGCAAGGGATGCACTGCACAAGATGCCTCGCACGGGGGCAGCAAAGGCGCGGAGAAAGAAGGAAGCCTTGTCTACCTGGATGACTGTTTCTTCTCTACTCTAAGGTTGTATTTCGCGGTGGGTGGGGCTCATCCATTCAGGGTGGGTCATGAGGCCTAGAGCGGTCAGGCCCTCAGGGAAGAGGGCACTGGTCACAATCCCAAGGCTACCTTCTTCCCAGACTGCAGCTCTTCTCAAAGGTTGTTTGTGGTAGCCACCTTGTATAGGGTTTCCAAAGCTGTAAATCTTTGCGGGAGCAGAAAGCCTTTGAATGGCTGGTGGGTTATAACCACCAACTTCGTGGGTAGCAGTCCTGTTTTATCCTTCAGACACTCCGCACTCCCTCTTCCTCTGAAATTTGGGCCTAATTATAAGTAGGCAAAGGCAAGCTATTATAAGGCTGGGATTTGTTCTTGTTGTGGGTGTGTTTCTAACTGTCATTTAAAAACACACCTTGTCTCCTACAACCTGGTCAAATCAGCCTTCCTGTCTACTTCACCCTCATCCAAGTCAAGTTTCTGTCAGGCCATTCACTTCCGAACTCCACCTCAGGCCTCCAAGATCTGCCACAAGCTCATAGAGCTGAGTCTGACACCTGAACTGCATAATCACTCCTCCTTAAACCTTTCTCACCTGAGAAATAGGCCTCCTCACGCCCTTAATCCCCACTTTGCCCCCTCCTCTGAACACTCACCTTCTTCTCTGAACCACTGGTCAGGCTGTTCCCCCTGCATGAAACACCCTCACTCACCTACCCATGTCCTGTGCATTCTTCAAGGCCTAGCTCAAGTCCCAAGTCCTCCATGAAGCCTTTCCCAAATGTCATCTCAACTCCTTTCTCTGGACTCATACACGTATTCATGTACAACAAGCGCTGTACTGCTAACCACAAGGTTGGTGGTTTGAGCCCACAAGCTGCTCCACAGGAGAAAGATGAAGCTTTCTGTTCCTGCAAAGATTTACAGCCTTGGAAACTCAATATAGTATTGCTATGAATCCAAACGATTCGAGGGCACTTAACAACAACCACCACCCAATGACTGAGCACTTGTCACCATCAATTACTACTTACTTTGCGCACTCAGGCACTTAGCTGGGAAGTGGGGGGTGGGGGGGTGCAAGCAGAGACAGTAATATAGGAGTCGGATCCTTTAGCTGCAATTCTGGAATCCAGGAAAGCTCTGAAAAACACAGTGTTTTCCACAATTTGTTTGGTGCTAAAGATTGGCCAGAACGAATATGAAGTTACTTGAATCTTTATAACTCTTTATATGACTCATTCAGACATTTTTCCTGTGGAACTATCAATATGCTTGATTATGAGTTGCTGCCTTCAAAAAGTTTATAGAAAACTGAATTAAAAGATAATGTAACTTATGGATGTAGTAGCTCAAAATACCAACAGATAGGGAAGGAGTCATCACATCAAGTATCAATCCTATCCCCTCTGTACACAGGGTAGATAGGGATGGGCAACTTAGACATTGGCTAATGGGCTGGGGGAGGCTATAAAGGCACAAAGTGACTGGCTTACAAGTTTTCAAGAGGGAGTTTAGTTTCAGAGAGTGTAGGGGAAGGTAGAATCCCCACTGAATAGTTCTCATCTTGTCTAGATGAGTCTGGTGAAAAGATATGATTCAATAGTGAATAATTGTTATTATGACTAATTGCAACTATCACAATTGTAAAGGTAGAAGTTTTGTAACAAAAAGGGGGGTATAGTTAATCTTATAGTATAGAAACAGAGGACCTTAGGACCTTAGGACCTTAGGGAAAAGAGCATGAGCAGAATGTGGGACCTTATCCACAGAAGCAGCGACACCAGAGATGGAGACAGAGATGGGGACATGGAGAGAGAGAGCAGCTGAGGACTCTAGATTCATGGAAAGAGAGAGGCTGTGTGCTGGTGGCCAGGAGTCAGGCTTGCAGAATATGCCCTTTGATTGTTTAAACGATTATATATTTCTGAGTATTTTTATGTACATCACCCCCAACACACTGCAAAAAAATAAAATAAACAACCAGAAGGAATAGAAGCAAATACTGTTGAATGATGATGCACTGAGGAGATTGTAGTCCTTGCAATGAAATGATGAGTGTAAAACTGATGTTCTCCCATATAAACTATCATTCAATTCACAATAAAAACTTTTTTTAAAAGTCTTAGCTTGTTGTTGTTGTTAAGTGCCATTGAATTGGTTCCAACTCATAGTGACTCTGTATAGGGTTTCCGAGATTTTAAATCTTTGTGGAAGAAGAAAACTTCATCTTTCTCCTGCAGAGTGACTGATGGGCTCAAATTGCAGACCTTGTAGTTCATAGTCCAGTGCTTATCATATGGAGCCACCATGCTCCCCAGTCCTAGATAGAGTGGAACAAAACTCAAAATCATGATTTAAAAAAAAAAGGTAAGGGTTACTGGTTGGGTAGGGACTCATTGAACCCCAGAAACTATGACCCTTCAGGTCTGGAAATGAACTAAAATTTCAGCCAAACAATAGGTCTGTGTTGTTGTTAAGTGCGATTGAATCAGCACTAGGGAGGTACACACACCTTAGAATAACCATTTGGGATCTAAAGGGTAGCATTTACCCAAGGACAAAGCTCAGGAAAGAAGGAGGAATGGAAACAGGGAACACAAAAAGGAAGTGGGATAAGTGATGTTATATTGTGGGGACTGCAGTCAATGACATGAAGCAAAATGAGTATGAATTGTTGAATGGCAAACAGATCTATTCTGTAAAGCTTCACCCAAAAAAGCATGGAGATGTCTGAGACAAATTTTCAGTCTTGGTGATAGGTTAAATATTCAACTGTGAGCTGAAAGGTTGCAGTTGAAACTTACCCAGAGGTACCACCAAAGTTGGCAATCAACTTCTACTCTGTATACATCCAGTCACCATGAG